AACTAACATTAAGTACACTCATTAGATGACGGTCCTGTACATCTAGAACAACTGCTATCACATGGTTTACATTTGTTATCCCTTCTGAACGAGCCTAAAGGACAATCTGATTTGCAAGTATTATCTGGGTTTAAAAATTTATCTTAAGGACATGGGCCTTCTACACAAATTTCATTATCGACTACTCCGGAGCAATTTATAGAACAATCAACTCCTCCGAATCCGGATTTGCAGATGCATTGACCGTTAACACAAACTCCTTTTTCAGAACAGAAATTCGGACATATAGAAGTATAATTACAGAATCTTTCGTAATCTTAAGGGCATGTGACTTTACCTTAAGCTTTTAGGCCACTTGGATCGATATCCTTTTATATATTTTATTCTCCTTTTCCACATAAAACTTTTAAATCAATATCGGGGAAAACAACAGATATTTCAGAAGCATCGGAGGAACATTTGAATTAGTGACATCTAAATTAAGTATCATTGTATATAGTTTTACAGAGTTTTATTTTTTAGCTGTAGATTTAAAGCATTTACTTTGAGTTGAATAATTAGATAATTTATTCGATTCTTAATTTTTGTCATATTATTATTATATAACATAAGGATTTGAACATTATCTATTTTAATATATGTTTATTAAATAACATCCGTCTCCAAGTTCTAAAGGTCCACTAATACCAATTCCATCATATTCAAATGAACATAACACTTAACTATTTTATTTAGGAAATTCAGGGTATCCGACTTTACTTTAGCAAGCGTTTTCTAAGAAATCGCAACCTTTTCCTTTTCCCCAGAATGTATTATCTGCCATATTCTCATTTACTTCAGGGTAAAAGCCTGTGTCTTTCAAAAGAGCAATTGTAAATATAGAAAGAACACTATCATATACTTCATCTCCAGTCATCATTTCATTATAAATAACAGTTCTTTCCCAATGAGAATTAATTGAACCTGAACTGCCCTAATTTATATATATATTTTTTTAATATTAAAATATATACTTATATATACTTCATTTTCAAGTTGCATTCCTTCAGCTGTAGGACAATTATAATATTTTCTAGTTACTTCCACTACATTTTTGGAAACTAAAATAGTGGTTTTTTTTCCTCTGTAAATTTTTGTTTTAAACAATTTATCTTTAAAGTTAGCTCCATAAGATTTTCCAGTATCAGATCTATCCAAAATGCATAGCTGATCTGAGAACCGAGTATATGTAAA